ATGTATAACACTATAAAATATTGCACTATTCATACCTTAATTAACTACGTATGACACCACTGTACAAAACATTTAATGGATTTAATAGACCTTTCTACAGCACCCTTCATCAATTACCACCGTGAAGTTGTTTTCAATGTAAATGATTAAAATCAACGATAATCATATTGGTGATGTAATCAAATCAGTGACGGTGCCAGTTGTGGGTCCAATGGAGCCGATGATAAATACACACGATGTCATCACGTGACACCGGACCGCTCATCACGCATGATATCAGCTTCCATACGCATATAATACCCTCACTTTTAACTACACATGTCTACACGCAAAGCCAAAATTACGGCATTAGGTGAGGTGAAGGGGCCCTCATAAAAGATACACAAATATGTAGATAAAACGGAAACAAACATCAAATCAAATCAAATCAAAGAAATAAACAATAATTAAGAATAGATAACAATAATCCTCTTTTGCACAAAAGAAATTATTAATTTGGTAGATAATGAGGCGAAATCCGATCGTATTCTTATTTTATATACAAATCGTTTCATAACATTCACATTCTGTACAAAGATATATTGCATAAATAAATAATGATATAACAATAATTATTATCATGATTAGCCCATGTTGTTTACCACACATAAATAATAAATGCAAACAATACCAATGTTATGTAGTAAAGTTATTATAAACAGTTCTCGGAACACGTTGGCTTACAGGCCATATACTATTATTAAGTGCTGAAGCTAAATCCTTAATACCGCATAATAATGTACAATAACAACCCAATTTGGGATTAGACTTATTTTGTTTATATCAGCACTTCCCCCACAAATCTATTGACGTATAGTACAATCTACTTTATCTTCCGGCATAACATTAATACGGCGTCTTTTTCTGTTTTGTTTTTTAATAGTTGGTACTCTGTCTTTGTTCTTTCAGTTCATGTGTTAGGTTACCGTACGTACGATTTATGTACAATATGTCACATGAAAGCCCGAATCAAAACGGCAGCATCCTCTGGTATAATTATAAAATATTATATGGTGCTTTGAACACCTGTAGATACGTGAAACTGTAAAGTAACTAAGGGTTTCATTAGGTGATTACCCTAATGTTTCGTGCGCGCGCAGTTCGTACCCAACCGATCCAGAAAGACCAACAGTATTTAATACAGCAAACGTTATCAACCCACATTAGTAGCCAATTAGACAGGCCTACAAAGTCGCAAACACTCATTGGTCATTACATCGTGACGAAAGCAATTTCAGGCGAAAGTTACTGTCGTTCGTTAGCTTTCTATACGAATGACACTGAATTTCACACGGTCCCTCAGGCTCCTCTGATGGGGAACTGATTTTACGTGCCCGTTACTGCTGATCGCTAGATACTTTATTTTCGTACTATTCTTCTTTGATATCGATCGGTAGTAATAGATAAAATTATCTGCCGTAAGAGATTCTACAAATTCGCACTCTTCTACCATAGTTGTCTGTAAAGAAATTGAGAATAAAAGAAGTTGGAAATGGATTTAAAATAGCATATTACATTGCGACTAATTCATTGATTGGAGAACGAGGCATAGTAGGCCTGAACTTCACATTTTGTATATCTCTCTCGGTTACCCCACAGTCGCGAATCCATGGGGATTCAGTGGGTTCAGACGAACCCTCTCTGTGAAGAAATGTAACCGTAATACTACTGGGTCCTGGCTTACAAAATTCATGCTAACCTACCAAGCATTGGTTGTCAGATCAGACAAACTAGACTTGGCCCAAATATGCCTTTAATTAAATAAAATTTAAAAACACTGTTTTTGGTTCGACGTCGTATATAATTAAGTATGAAAGTGCGTTCTTCATGCCTATCGGTTCATCGATCCATGGAAGAAAGACTACGGTACGTATCTAAGTACTCAATATTGTTGGAATATAGGCCTAATAATAGATTGCCTATGTCTTTGATTTTTTTTATTGTGTATAGGCCTAAGAATGAGATAAAATCACCTGACCTTTTTTAGAGGGAGAAAACCTTGAATTTTGAAGAAATTTAAAGACACCTCAGAAGTCTAGGGACAGCTCATTTCTGGCCATCTAGGAAACAAAATTTTCCCATGGGAGGACTCCACCAACCTTTCGTTTTGGAGGTTTTTGGAAACATTTTGAACCTCCCTCTTTCAAATCCTGGATCCGCCCCTGCTCCATCCACCAATTCACCACCAAAGGCGGTGTCAACACTATCGTACGTCCTCTATACACATTTTTCAAACGTCCATTCACAATTGTAACGGTTTATCCCCGATTTTACAATATTTTTAAACATATAACTCTAAAATGAAAGAGCCCTAAATTTTGATTTACAATCTCATGATGAAGAATCAAGGGATCTTTAGATTGTACGACCATGTGCTAGGCAGCGGTGGCTCCAGGAATTTGCCAACAAGAGGTCCAACGGAGGGGTCGTCAAGGGCCCGACTATCAGCCTTGGTCGGGGTACCGGAGTAAAAAAAAGATTCCTAGGGTTCACGGAGAGAATTTGTATACCTTGTGAGGTCGAAATTGTGCTTAGGCCTATAGACAAATATATTAGGGTAATAACGTTATTTGGATAAGTAAACTATTATTTATTTTTTATTTTTTATCCGACGACCTCGTCATGGCGTCGGACGACAGAGGGTCCAGGCCTGTCTGACTGGAAGGAAATCTTACCCCACCCCCGCTAGTATTGAGACGTCACCAAGTTGTAATCTGCGCATGCGAGGACGTAAATGTTGTTTTCCACTAGGTGAATTCATTCGCGGGAATCGCACATTTTCTTACATATACGCGTGCGCAATTGAAAATCTCGTGATGAAAATTAAACTGAGCATGCGTATAGACTAACATTTTTGATTCGCGAGAATAAATTCGTCTAGTGGAAAACGGCCTGAAAGTCGGTTTTCCCACTAGGCGAATTTATTCGCGCGAATCGGAAATTTGTACCTACGCATTTGAGAATTTTGTGAGGAAAATTTTACTGCACATGTGTATAGGCTAACATTTTCGATTCGCAAGAATAAATTCGCCTAGTGGAAAATTCGACCGATGGTCATACCATGGAGGTATAATAGGTCATACTTACAGAGCCGTAAATTCGACCTTCGTCGTTCATACAAACATAGTATCCAGTCACTTCACCCTTGATTGTCACCACATCCTCGGCATGGGAATTTATATGCAAATAAGCTACGAAAGAGAAAAGTAACATTTAGATAATGTTTGTTTAGCTGGTGGTAGCGTCTGTTTGTTTAAAAAGTAATGGTCTTGTCTCCCTCCAATTAAAGACTACTTTTGGAACCACTGGGATTTCAAACTTTATTTCAAAAACTGCATTATAATAAGAATCCTGCAACTTGTGTTGCCTGGCATTTATTGAAGATAAAAGATATCTGGGACTACAGAAAAGTGGTTTTAATTGAAGGTTGTTTTCAGCACTCAAACCCCCTAACTTTTAAGAATTTTGGCTGAATCGAGTTTTAACTGGTAAAATATGCACATGGGAACATTTATTGTGATCCAGTATTTGAGTCGTGCTCACTGGATATACATGATAGGCCTAACGTTGTGCTGTAATGTATTGAGTTATGACAAAGTATTTTTGAAATAATCGTAAATTTGATTTGCATACAGGTGGCACTTGCCATTGTTCTAATAACAAGTCTGGAAGACGTTCTCTTTCTAAATGCGGAACTATGGCACATTGAGAGAAACAGTTTCATGCATTGACGTATGCTATTTTAAAGCCATCATCCTGCTTCTAATTTGCGCGGTCAAAAGAGATCAATACAAGCAAAAACTCCGATAGAAATGTGAATGCGAATAAACCAACGTTTTCGAATTGAGTGAATAAATTCGCCTGGAAAACAGGCTTTTCGTCGTTGATGATAAAAATTGAACAACGCCAACAAGGAACCGAGAACTGTTTTAATGGTTAGCCGTAGTACACAATGTTCTGCTTTAGGGCTAAGCTATTTACAAAGGCAATGTACAGTGTTTATAGTAGGAAGACATGTCAATTACTTTTAACATCAATGATTTTTATCAAATGGAAATGAAATGTCGCAAGCAATTCCTTTGATTGATCGCCAATGCTCAGTATCTTTAGTGATGTTTATTGCAAGATCTCTGTCCCACTGACTCATCTTGACGAGTCGCGTTAAAGTAAATAATAGTATCGCAATTCAAAATACCCACTTTACGAGTTGTCTTTACGACCGTATCGTCAGCCCATTGACGCACAGCCCTTTGCTTTCGAATCGACCAGTTTCCATGTGCTCAATCCGTTTCCGAGGTTTTAGTAAACAGATTTTATGAGCAGGAACTACTGTATCTTGTTGTCATGGTAGATTCATGGTGGATGGTTGGTGTTAACCTCAAAATATGATTAAGATTAAACTCAGTGTTAAGGTATTGTATAGATAACGGAACATAACATTTCTGCGTGGTTTACAAAACATAGGCCTAAGTATGAAAACAAAATTGGTAGAAAACATCTTACTGTCTGATATCAATACCGTATCAGCGGCATGATTCCTTGTCGAATTAGCATTTTCTCTTTTAATAAGCCAAGTCCAGACTATTAAATTTTATTTGACAAACAATTGTTGTATGCCAATATATGTGCCTATATAATTATGGTCCTGATGTAATGTCGTCGTAACCATATTTAGGTATGTCACATTTTCTTGTCAAATAAAATTTGATAGTATTAATACGCACAACGCACAAATCAGAGCCCCCATATATATATATATATAGACCTTACACTGTTATTTTGAAGGAGTTATTTTAACTCGAAAAGAGTTATTCTGTACCTTTTTTTTAGGTACAGAATAACTCCTTTGGAGTTACAATAACTCCTTCAAAATAACAGTGTGTATATCAAATATGATTATAATAAAAACACAGATAATTATGATATCAATTATATACTTGATTATTTCCAAGATTGACTTGGAACCAGGTGATACATATTACTCATGTCCCGGGCGTATTATCGCTCAATCTTAATTAATAACCAGTTACGAACGAATCCCGAAGGCATTTAAATTCGGGGAATAGGATGATTATTCGATTGGAATGAAGTGAGTCAGTTATAACGCTTGTCGATTCATCAGTCAATATCAGGGAAGGAATTGTGGGGATACTAGGATTAAAATCTTGAAAAGACCCCTTCGTTCCAGAATTCTTAAGGTAAGTGATGACGCGTCATCGACAGGTAATGAACGCATTATCGATAAGGAATGACGCTAAGTAAAACACCTTTTTCGCTTGTATGGTTTCCGATTTCAATGCAGCCTTAGATCATTTTTCCATCATCGCACTAAATGTATTTATTAACTTGCGTCATGGCTAAACAAGTCGTGGGAACTAATTGGCTGCTTCAAAATTAGACAGATTGTTGTTTATTTCTGAATTAAGAGTGGACACGATGACGGCAAAACAACACCCTTGACATTTAGGCCTACTCACGCGATAAGGAAGCCAGATGTCGGTCGGTCAGTCAAAATAAAGACTATGTTAAATGCCAATATTGGCAATGTTTCCTCCGAATACCATAATTTCACTTTATTGATTTCTTTTTAGAGGTGGAATTGAGTAAGTAGAAGTGTCAATAGCCACATCTTAATAACGCATCAGAAACGCCTGGGTGCAATGATCTAACATTTCATGGAAATCCACTACCAAGTACGCTTATGAATCAAAATCATTAATGTCAGTTTCGGTGTGGGCCTATTTCAATTCAAGAACAGGCTTAGGGCATTGCGGTGTCGCTACCCCGCTGCCCAGCCATAGGTAGAATTTCGAAAGGCTGGTTTTACCAATCCACCGACAAACTTTCCAACTGTTAACACTAGCTCTATAATGAACTGGAAGAATTCAGAGAGTAATCTATATCATTTAAGACTGCAAATTGTAGACGCAGAATGTTATAAATTAACACCTACATGTTGTAACATCAAACCAAATTATCATTACCGGTACCATTACATATTTAAATTCAGGGGCGTTTTCCATGGAGCGTTATTCGTTGTGATGTCAGAATAGTTGTGTTTTATTTTAAGAGATGCACATTAAATCTGAATTTAAATCAAATTTAATTATGTAAATAAAAATTATGAGTATGCTATATTCTTAGTTAATATTGGTATTTTTAAAAAAAAAAATGCATGTATGTTTCTATTTGGTGAAACCAGTTCGACTGAGATAATAATGTTTAATTACAGGAGTTAACCCATGTTTAACTCCTGGTTCGAACCATGTTTAACTCCTGGTTCTACTGTACTATGTTTTGCGCCTGGTTCTACTGAACCATGTTTAACTCCTGTACTACTGAACCATGTCAACTCCTGTTGATTTCTGGTGCAACTGAACATGCTTTGTGTCCAGCTCACCAGAACCAAATTTGACTTCCAGGTCATCTGAACCAAATTTGACTCCCGGTTTAATCAAACCACGGGTTCACTTCCAATTCACTTGAACCATTGATGTGACCACCGATTTTTCTTCCATTTGGGCCTGAAACAACGGTGTCCACATGGTTCAGGCTTCGCCGGGCGGTTCAGTTAAATTAGGGAAGTGCAGTCCCGCTTCACTATAAAATCGGGTTCGAGTCTGCCCATCTTCTTACACTAAAGCTCAGGTCCTGCTTCTAGTCTGGGAGGTTAATGCCAACGTTTGGACTCTGTTGGTTTGAGGCGCTGGTGCCATGGCATTGGGTTTAACTTATGTCAATTTTTAATAAGCTAGTTGTGGCTTAATCACCTCAAGAATTATTCCAGTTAATTTGAATTAGTATGACTCACTTGCCCGGAGAGATTCAACTCGAGTGGTAAAGAAAAATAACATTGACCCAGGCTAGATTTTTTACCAGGTTCTTGTACGTAAATAACGAATCACGTGGTTATTGAGCGATAATATCTTTTGGCTGTTCATTGTTTACTTCGATAACACATTTTGCAGATAGTTTGATTTGAGGTGATTGTCCGGCATGTTTATTGAAAAAAGTACCGTACTGATTGGAAAACATTCAGGCGCTTGGATTAATGAAACGAGAGGAATGGCCACTAGGTCACACACAAGGTAGCATGGTAATACCGTAAAGCCTCGAATAGAAGCCCAATGGTCTTATTAATCTCGAGATGAAGCCCATATCCGAATTGAAGCCCTCCATTGTAGTTTGCAAAAGTAATCTCGAAATGGAGCCCATCTCAAAAAGAAGCCCATGGACTTCTTTTCAGTGGCGGCACCACCGGACAGGTCATGCCCCCCCCCCCCCGCACAGAGCTCGTCTTACAGTCAGATCATAAAACATAAATATAGGCCCACACCAAGCAAACACATGTCTGAACGGATCGTCATTAAAAACGATCCGTTGCGCCCGTCGTGGCGTTGAATTCTGACCACCGTCGGGTTCTGTCGGCGTTAATCTTCACTCTACTTAAATCCAACGTAGGCCTAATTACTGTATCAATATCTGCGTTCGTTGCACTGCACTTTCTACAAATAGTATATGGTAATCTGTGGATTAAACTAGATTGATGTGGTTTTAAGCGACAGTACAAGGTATTATCAAATCGCTCAGATCCGAAACTAATCGGATATTGCATCATGTTCTTAAAAAAACAAGTATATTTTAGGTTTTCCTGTGTTGACTTATGATAAGGGTTAAGCATTTATCCATTGGAGTGGAGTTAACTTAGTGGTTGAGATGCTTGCCTTCTAATTCCAGGGTCCCGGGTTCAATTCCTGTCACAGCAGACCTATTTTTCTCACGACTGACTAAAAACAACTCCACTCTATTATGTCTCAATGAGACTTGGTTTATAAAGCATCGTGGCGAGTGTACTTGCTGTTGGATGAGAAGGAAATTTAAAAAAGTACTACCGGAACATAATATTTCGGCCTTTCGTCTTAAATTACTGAAATCGACGGTATTGTTTTTCATCAGGAAACAATTATGATAGATATGTTTGGTTACGTGTGGTTCAGTGCGTACTTTTCGTGCATTAGATAAAAATAAGTGATGACGACGCCATCATTTTATGAGTATTTCATGATTACGTTGTCCGTTGCTAATTATAGTCTATATCATCATCATCATCATTATCATCATCATCATCATCATCATCATCATCATCATCATCATCATCATCATCATCATCATCATCACCACCACCACCATCATATATATGCAGACGATACGGTCTTGTATCGGGCTATTCGTTGTCCTCTTGATGAACATGTCCTTCAATCCGATTTAGATACTATATACAATTGGAGTAAGAATAATCACATGACTATTAACGAAACTAAATGTAAAATAATGAGAATC